TGCTCGAATGATTTGATTGGCTTAACAGAATGGCCACTTTTTTTTTCTTTTTTTTTTTTACTTTTTAGGAAAACATCGTGTACACAGCGCTTTAAGGCACAGTCCTCGATAAATTCGGTGTACCATTTTCAAGTTGAAAAGCAGAATAGTTGGAGGAGGATGGAGCCCTTGCGGTGGAGAAAGAGAGAAAACCTGCCGACTTCGCAAAAAACAAGGCTTTCTACAAGTAATGAAAATAGAGGTCGTCCAAGATTACCATGGACGGAAATAAAAAGAAAGCGGTATTCGGACGAGATTTAAGTTGCTGCGATTGCATGAAGAGCAGTCCACAACTAGCCTGAAATGTCCGGAACTGCCAGCCGTCCACTCTCGCTCTGGGTCACGACAAGTTGTTTGAATTTCCGTCCATGAGTGGTCATCGTGATTGGTACAGCCTTCACAGCGCCGTTAAAATTTGTTTGTCTCTGAGAAGAGCATACCTCGGTACAATCCCCTTCAACGACTTATCTAGGCCGCTTTCGATCTGACACACTGCCACATATGGTATACGAAAGGGTCACAGATTCACTCTTGGGGAGTATCCCAGTGACCGTTACTGTGGCTTCAAAGCGAGGTATTACAACACTCTCTACTGAGTGTGACTAGGTCGTTTAACCTTTAAGGTTTATGGTTTAAGGTTTATGATCCTTTTATCTTCTTTTGATATTGAACTAATATATCATTTCTCCTTGTAATTCGATCTCTACCATATTTTTTGGCACCGCTCAAGCTCCTTTCGCCATACCTTCTTTTGCTCATCTCAAGCGCTCATGGCAAAAAAAATAAAGCAGCCCCTTGCTATGACACATGGCCTGTTCTCGGCACCGATATTGGTCAGTTTGGATTTCATTCACAATCTCAAACATAACCTCCTACACAGCCCACACGGCTTTTCCAAATGAGCCACTTCACACAACAGCTGTCTATTTTTGCTTGCTAGCCCTCTATCCCAGTCGCTTAGATTTCAAAGCTGACCCTTCAGAGCTTGCTTTGAGTTCTTAGTCGAAATATTGTCAAGATTTCCTATTATTAATCCCAGGGCTATTCGGTAGTGATTACGAACGAAGAAGAAAAGGCAAATTCTATTCAAATCATGAAAAGCTGAATAAAAAAACACAGACATATTCGACTAGCCTGAACTCTGGTTACAAACACAAAATGAGTCACCTTCACATGAGAAAAAATCGAAAAGGGAAACCTACACATTCACAACAATACCCAATTATGCAGGCGTGAAAACCAGCAGAGAAAATAAGGCAAAGTACAAGCTAATGTTAATCAGGAGAAAATCTCTTCAAATAAGTAATTCAAGCCTTTAATTTTTGGAAGTGTTGTTTCACCCTATAAAAAATAAATAGCTGCTGTACAAAAAAAAANAAAAAAAAATAAAAATTCAATCAGGATTTACAAGATATATTAGCTGTGCATAGAATCTAGCAAAGAACAAAGCTTCCAAAAAAACCTTCCAAGACACGAAATGACAAAATGCAGGGATACTATGAAACATATACAAAGGTATTGATATCGTCATCTTTTCTTTCAATGAAACTGAAATTCAGCATATTTGTGTAATTACCACTACAGAAACTAGACCATAACGATGAACTTACCGATTATCGATTAGCCAATCGATTTGCTCCTTTATCAACTTTCGGTTTGGAATAAACATAGGTTTGAGCATTTCCACAAGTTCTGTTTGAAGTTGAGCCGAAGTTATAGTCTTTCGCATTTTCATAATCTGCGATAGCACTTTTCAGAAGATAAATTATGAAAACTGTATAGAAACCACAGGTATTGACGTTGCTCTGTGAAAAACTCTCTTGAAAAGTAGACCGAAAACAAATTCTACGCGAATGGCAATCAAGATGCCGCATGATGAAACAAATAAGAAGCAGATTGGCAATTTGTCCGCACAGGATTTATAGGATATATTAGAGCGAAAAATGAGTGTACTGGTAGAAAATACAACTCCATCATTCTATTATTCATTGCGAACCGCCCTTTTTTTNAGGTTGCTGAAGTACTTCCTCACTGATTAGCTGCTTTGCGACCAAAAGGTTTGTAAAGTTGAATTCTAGCTACGCCCATCATTTCATTTCACGCCAGTTCCAAGATTACTGATACAACTATAAATTTTGTCATATAGGGAAAGAATGAGCTGCAAATAATAAAACTTTCAGAGTGCTCTTCCTACTTTAACTGCAGCTTCTTGAACACGCAGCTCCCTTAGTGCCACTATGTCCTCATGCTCCTTTGTGGCAGACGACTCCATCGACAACTGCAACCGGCCAATTAAATTGATCCGTCCGCGATGTTGTTCCTTGCCATTCTAGAACAAGTTCATTCAATGGCGAAGTTGTTACTCCAAACACATTGAACACCGGACCTTGATTAGACGAAAATCGTGATTAATATAGAATAGCGTTGAATCAGTGAAGTCCCGTGGATTCAAAGGAGTGGGAGCGTCGCATAGCAGAAGTTGGTACTTCATTTTCGGATACGCGACCAAAGACTGAAAGGTATTCGGATAAGAAAGAAATAAGGAACTACGACAACATACTTATGTCCGGTACGTAAGTCGAATAGATTCACTAGTCTTTTTTCTAGTAATCTTAGCTGCCGAAGATACAGTCTTTCAAGACAACCCGACTGATGGTCACGATAAGTGTCTGTTCGTACTCTTCATTATCAAATCAATGTGCTCATCCCTAGCACCCCACGCAAATGAAACCCCACATTATCTAGAAACAAGCTACTACGTTCTCCCTGTCACTATCCGAATTAGTTCTTATTTATTTTTCAATATCCCATACTTTTCGAGCCTATGACTCTCTCAACTCTCGAAGACATTCTTGATAATTACATCAGCACCGGGACACTTCTGCTATCAAAGACTAGGAAGGCAATAATTTCGAAAACATCAGCTAGTGAATAATGAACGTTACGAACCAAAAACAAAGGAAAACTTAGGGATAAAATTACGGGACGTTTTTATTTTGAGACTACTGAGCATGAACATTCAGGTGAAGCAACTTCCGAATCAGAAAGAAAGGTTGAACTTACGAAAAGGGTCCTCGCCAGCTCCGTGTCAGGCAGTTCCGTCGCTAAACGGAGCGACTCGAACGAAATCTTCTCATGGGAGCGGTCATTCCAACAGAACAGAACGGCCATTTGAAATGTAGTCAATTCCAAATCGAATCGGCCACCAGATGAAGTACCAAATGTAATCTAAATTGTTGGAATCCGAAGAGAAGACTAGGTTGACTCGAGGCCCTTAAAGCAGACAAGCCGATTGCGGCTGTAAAACCACCTCCTTGCCCTTCTCGGAGGTAAATGATATTGCTTTAGACTTTTGTTGCGGAGGGATACCAACAACGTCAAAAATAAGAGCTGGTCTCTAATGACTGGGCGCAGCTGTCGGACTCATTGTTACTCAACGTTGTCATTATACTTTGACATTTCCTATTTCAATATCAACCTTCCTTACAAAACGCAACAATGAGAAGAAAATCGCTCGCTCACACTACAGGGAAAGGTCAGAGAGTAACAAAATGGTAACCTTCCACAGTATGAAATACTCCTTTAAGAGCCCATGCATCAGAATTCGCATCCTTTCCTCAGCTGTACACGGCCTGATCTAATCGACACCACAAATTCTAGGGGTGTTATCCTTACTAACTCTACGGAAAATCTTGTTAAAAGGAAAAAAATTAGAAAACATACCGTTCCACTACTCCAGTGGTGCATCCAATTCAGTTTCCTGCCGTTGTGATGCTTTTTGTAGAAAGCTTCCACCTGAAAGATTCTATTCCAGGGAAAACTGAGAGGAGAAATGTAATATTTCTCCACAAAGCATTAACAGTGATAACAAAACAAAGTGATATATGAAGATCAGCTGATAAATATGATTATTAGAAGAGCACATGTAGAAAGAAGAACTCAAAGAAATTCTTGAAAAATGCAAAACATGTCGTTTGAGCATCACTGTGGTTCAATAAAGATGTTAATATCATCCTGAACAAATGCACATACAAATAGAAGGAATAACACAGCTGAATTCAAAAAAAAANAAAAAAAAATAAACAAAAAACAGAATATAGTTGAAGTGGTAGACAATAAACAACTTTATTCCTGCATGAACAGCAGGAGCGCACCTTAATATACTTACAAAAACAGCTGAACTTACTTCGGGAACAAACTCTTCCAATTCCCTTGGCAATGACACACGAACCCGTTCCGCACCGACACCACCACGTCCCCAAGCACCACCGTTAAGAATCTTTATATTAATGAGGTCTGAAATGAAGCAATTTCTAGAGTCTTGCGCCATAGTCATGGATCGTAAAACACAAGTAAAAGAACTGCGAGAAATAGTCACCTGACAAAGCCCTATTATTGTTAGTCCCAACTAGCGACTTTTTGAAGTTTGAATTGAGATCTTTATTAACTTCGATGTCTTGCAGCATCCGAAAAAGTTTGTTCACATGTTCAGCAGGCATGCCACATTCCTGAACCGTTGCCGTGATCATCAACATCCAAGAAAACAATGCTACACATTATAGTACAACATAAAATAAATTTCTGTAAAGTAAAGAAAGATCAAAGTTCCAAGAAACACATGATGAATCGTTCGCCGAATGATTATTCCTCTTGGAAATAACAACCTCAAAAAGTTACAATTCGGACCCTACTCTGTGTAATGACGCTGTAAAAACCATGCGCTAGTGATCATAGCTTCTTACGTAACTAATCAACTATGGAACCACAGCTTTGTTGTTGTATACCCACCACAACTTTACATGTTGGGAGTCTTGTGACGCTTTGATTCGAACAGCCCCAACCTTTTCAGTAATGGCTGCGATTTTTTAATGGAATGTACTTCCACAATAAAACAAATAGGATATTTCGACTTAACGTCAGTAACGGAATTCTATCTTTTCTTAGGGGTAATATGACCCAAAGGTCACAAGAAACAACTGACGGGTAAAACACCTACACGAAGCTTGTTAACCATGGCTTCTTCCTTCTCTTGATCGGCGCTCATATCAAGAATAAGCCGTCTTGAAAGATGAGCCTTGTGAAATCGCATAAACACATCCTTATTGGCAATATACTTTAAGACAAGAAGCTGAAAAATTCATAAGTCAGACATAGATAAATAGAATCACTTAGAGAAAATCTGCTATCAATTAACCATCTTTTCGTAAACAGTTGGCAGCCAAAGGTTGATCCACGAGCATTTAAGCCCAATAGCCTGCTTTATAGTCACAACTACGTACCAGATTATTTAGTTTCGCGTCGATCTCTTCTGATGTGAGCTTTTTACTCAGCTGCGTTTTCCGCAGCAGGAGATCACAGTAGTTGGCAAGCAACTCTGGGCATTTCGATTCTACAGCTGTGTTTCGACTGCAAAACAAAACAATAAAAGACAAAAATGGGAAATGAGGATGTAAGGTACCTCTTTTTCCCTAAAGGTAACTCCATTTTGAAAATGGTCGTGTCATTGACGAGAGCACGGAACGCCTTAAACGAGCAAAAATAATCTTACACAAAATATGAGCATAGAACACGAAACTGTGCTAAGGTCAGTTTTTCAAAGCACAACGAAGATCTATAGTGTCAGAATACGTTAAGTCAGAGAACACAATTCAAGACTACATCTCAAACCCTTTAAACATTTCACAAAGCTTTGTGGATTTCTTAGTGGGTTAATATCTCCATCAAAACCCACCTCGCAAGACGAAAATTATTACTTATTGCATTGCAGAAAAACCGGTCAAAGGAGCAAATTCAACAAACAAAGAAACAAACAAACAAGATGATGAAAAAACTATCATCGAAAAAAAAAGCAAAACTGTAATAACCTTGTCCCTCGCCGTTAACAACCGAGCATCGTCATAAAAACCCTCTTTCACAAGAGTACTGAATCGATCAAACATACTTAGCAGTTGTGATATGTACTTTTCAGGATCCTGCAATACAATCATATTCCATATTTTCTCTGGAATACTAATCAAAGAAAGGTTACCGTCGTAATTGTCAGCGCATTTTCCTTCATGTCGTCTATTCCCTCACCACGAATATGATTATCAACTGCTTTAATCACAACTTCTATGCCGGATGGTGTCCATTTTATTAATCGGTATAACATTCGCAATTCTAAAAGACCATACTTTTTCACATTTTGCATTCGCACTTTATGATTATTGGAGAACAATATAAAAAGTCTACGGTATTAAAATCAAAATAAAAGAGCAAGCAAAGAGTTTTGCCCTGGATTCTATTATTCGATTAGGAGCTCAAATGCCAAAAGCACTCAAATGTAGATGCGAAATGATCAGTTCTAATTACCAAAATTTTGCAGAATACAATAAATCTTTAGAATGTTCCAATGAAGCAAAATGCGATAAAGAAGATGAAATGATTAAAACAAATTAGAAAAAAGGTTGCTTTACTCACTTTCAACATCGTTTTTGGCGATTAGGGATGGGCATTCTGCGAGAATTTGGTCCTCAAACTCAACAACTAGAACCTGTACACAGCTCTCGACCAACTGAAATGCTTACAAATCAGATGTCACCATTGATGCAAACGTGATTTGCTCTAAACACGTATACCAAAGGAACATACTGTAGCCTCATTCACTCAATAGTTATCACAAACACATTAATTAACTACAAGATCACAAGTAATTATTAACAGAGCATATCTGAATGTGCTTACCCTTGCAACACTTTCAGGATTAGGATTCAGATACTTCTTTGCACGCTCTTCCTCCTCCTCAAGCATTCGATCGGCATATGACATATAATTTATTACTCCGTTCTCAGCCAGATACTTAGAAAACAGAACATTAAACGCTGATTACAGCATAATCCTAACATCATTTGAAAATGAGTATGTAGGGGAAATTACCTGCGCGGCCCTCTTCTTGTAGTAGGCGACGGTTTCCTCAACGAATTCTCGTTCAAAATGTTTTCGGTACTGCTCGAGAACGTCTTCATAGTAGCAATCCCGTTGGTCGTAGAGAGCTACTGAAAAGCATGCAGTAATTCCAATACTTCATCGATGAATAAACAGAACCAGACAAACTTCAGAAAAACAGTCATGTGCCTAGTGAAAAAACAACGAAAGCGGCTCTTTCCAAGCTTCTGCTCATGCTCTCCCAGTTCCAAAAAAAAAAGGCAACAAGCTCAAAAAGAGCTTAGGGAGAAAATCAAAGGCTCGGCAAACAAAAAAGAGTTCAAGAAATCAGACTCAATTACTACCCACCCCAACTTTCTCGCACTCCGATAACAAGATGAGCATCAACAGCTTCGCCATTCCGCTCTGCTTCAACTAGACGAAGGGCAGCTGAGAGAAGTTTCAGACTAATATGTTGAAAAACAACTTTCTTCCATGTTTCAAGCATCTCCTGCAAAATTGCTTATACATTTTTACGCACATAATAAGTGAATTTTTTTTTCAAAGCAAGACGACATATAATATAATCTAACAAACCGGACAACTCAAAACTGAGAAAGCTTGGCCTTTCAACTTCTGATTAGCTATGGGATAAGCAGCATTAGATCAGCACTAACCTCTCGAACAGTCTTACTCCTGTACTGCCTTGGAGTGCGGGTCTCACTTCCAGGTGGAAGAGGTGCAGGTGGGGCTGTTTCTGGATCAATGGCCTGAAAAGAAAGAGATTGGATAACATGTAACATGTATAGAGAGTACCTAAGGTCATCAATCATCGGCAATTTGGAGGCTATAACGCTCAAATTTTACCATGAAGGGTAACGGAAGGATTGCAGTTTGTTGATGAAACTTGGTCCACTCGTTTATATAGGCTCTGAGTAGAGCCTGGTCTCCACGCTCGATATGATAGTTGATACGCTGAAAAGAGTAAAATTAAATAGGCAAACCTTTCGTTCAGAAGGACTGACACCTTCGACAGAAAGAGAAAAGGGTGAAAATGTAGTTGGGGGAGGGGGGGAGGGAAAGCACACATTAGCGTTAGTATATCAAGAAATAACCCGGCTTAACTTGAATATAAAAAATGGGACAACCGAAACTATAATTGTGTAGAAAAACTCATTATACTGTTTGATTTATGAATTCCCACTTGGCCCTCGAATGTTGAACTATTTGAAAAAGACAAGAAAATAAGGACATCGAGACGCCTCTCATTTATGATTATTGGGTAGTGTAATAATGAGCACGGCGATTGTCCTCTTTTAAAAAATCATGTCGTGCCTCAACCAAGGTTCAAAAATTTGATTCCACTGTACATTCATTTCACTTTCACATTTCACAAAACATAACCCTACGAACACGATTCGAACCATCGTGCCGGAGAACCGAGGAGCTAGAGCATGGAGCACAGCAGTAGCAGATAGCAACAAACCTCTCTAGCCATCCTTACGTATTCCTTGACATTATAGTCGATCGCAGCATGGAGCTTCTTTTTTCCATCATCTACCCAAGAATGAATTTTGTACACAGCAAGAAACAAATCCTGCCATTCTGACTGGGTAACTCTCTGAATCAATTACATCAATCAACAAATGAACACTTCGTTTCATATCTTCCTTAATATAAGAAGGCTAACAAAAAATAACCTCTTGTGTTATCAAAGCTAACACAATCTTATGGATCTTGGCCCACTCATCCTCGAAAATCAGCGGGGTATCCGAATCGGCGACCTGAAAACGGAATCTTTTACTTTTTCTGACCATAAAAATTCGTGGCTCTTTTCATTCCATTCCGCCATTTCGGACCCAAACAGTCCATTCCAAGGGGCAGCAAAGGCTGTATAATGAAAACGCAAGCTCATATATTTCAGAGGAGCTCAAACTAAAGCAAAACCACTGAGCTAACTTTCAAGCGAAAATAGTGGAAACAATAAAAGACCGTAGGAATAAAAAAAAAAGTCGGTCTCGATGAGTACTCTAAACTCACTCTAAGCATTGACGCCATAAACTTGACGCGTATTCGTTTGATGTAGTGCCGGAAACGTTTAAACTGAATTTTGACAAAGGAATAGGTTGCCCAGCACAACCTAAACGAATATTTGCGCCAGTCTAGAATAGATGTCGCCTGTCGTCATTCGAATACATCTAGCTTCAAGGTGAAGATAACAGGGAGTTTAGGAAATATAGGCAGAAGCGTTTTGTCGAAGACGAACACCGGCGAGCTTCTTCGATTGGCTGACTTGTGGCCGTTCGCTCTATCAGAGCGAACCAATTTAATTGAATTAGCATTGGAGCGCGATAACTACAATTTTTAGCCTTGTTTTCGTGACAAGTTCTAGGGACCCTACTTAGTATTGCTTTCCCCCGGAAATCAGACAAGTTATTTTTCTACGCAGTAAACCACTACTGTGTGGGAGCAGGGATATTGGATCAATGGTCACTCCAATGATTTTAAATCCGTCTTTGCTAGCCTTTGAGATGCTTCAAGCACGGGACACGATGTTCAAAAACAAAAATCCAATGAACGGACAATCTCGGGCCGACGTGATGGTATATGAGAGGAGAGCGGAACTAATAGAGGAATGGAATTGACAAATGAGGTAACGCTTCAGAGGAGGGGGTGCCAGAGAGTAATAAAAAGACCGCAACTGGCCTAGGTCATAACCATCTGACGGAGATCACCACTTACCGGGGGTGAATCTTGGGCCTAATTGTAAGCATCAGGCAGCGATCTCATACAGAAGAGCTGCTGCACTAGATGCAGGGTGGCAGAGAACCGCTGAGACGTTTCTGGCTTTGCCATCCTGAACTTCACCATGTGTTCATCCGATCTGATGGTTAGCACAATAAATTCGATCGCAGGAAGGCTAGAGGAAGAAGTTGTACTGTCACTTCTGGAACGCAATATCAAGTATTAAAGAGCCCTGATAGGACCTTTCAAGGAGCCATAATAATTTGTATGAGATGAAATGTTGGATGAATTGCCATCAAATCCAGCCTCCCATTTCCCACCCAGAGCCTCCACAGAGTACGGACAGGCTGCCTGACAAGTCCGAGGACGCTTTTGGCAAACGGTCCATCAGGGAGCAGCAAAAGGATCAAGGAGCCCGGTACTACTGATTTCCAAAATCGCCAAGTAGTTCGTCAGATGAAACCAAGGGAATTTCGAATTCGATCTGTGAAACTAATTCTCTTGCTTGGAAACCTGCTTTACTTCTCTTCTAGAGGTAATTTCTCATAATCCATCTCCAGCTCAACTATAACTCCTAGGCTGCCATATGTACACATTGCTTATCTCCTAGGTTACCCTAATAGTTGAGTTCATAAAGCCTGATCTACCGTAGTCTCGGTCGCTCTGCGCTCCTGTTGTCGATGACGCTGATATGGATACCGTATGCCAATTAGTTCTTCACAAAAGAGAAGGCTTATCTTATTTTAGTTCTCAGTACTAGTAGTGGTACGTACGAATCCCAGTACACATCCGCTATCGAAGGCTACGTAATGCTTCGGTGAGTCAGACAAATCGCGTGCTCTGATACATCCCCGATCGGTCCTCGAACCTTCTGGCCGTCAGGGGCAAACATGTTCTTCAAACGCATTGGAATAGAACATCCTTTTCCATCATGAAGGCTATGGCTTAAAGGCACCGTTCACGATAATAAAGTTATTGAGTTCTTACCTTAATACTCAGCGGCCCCCATGGGTTGTAGAAGGGGCCCTCTCACTCCCCCAATCTCGACGTCCAGGGCATAGTGGCAACCCCGTTGTTGCCGTAGTTCGCGTTCCCGCCCCT